TTGTGCACTAACGCTCCTACCTCTTAATGTAAAGCGTGTGCGATTTATTTGGTTACCTCCTCAAAGGATACGTTTTCCAATCCGGAGCCTGTGGAGGCGTCTTGTAGCCTACCGCTCGGCAACGGTTGAACAGCCGTTGCATCAGGATGAACCATAGGCAAACAGTGACTTTGATTGTGACCTACATTTCCACAAACTATAACAGTGATTCGGTGAAAGGTGACTTATCACCGAACTTTTTCACAAATGAACTACAAATACTGAACAGTGAAGTCTGAAAACTTTCTACTGACCAACTATAATTGCGCGGCCAACGCGAGGTAGGTAGCTGCAGTTGCTACATCTGTGTCAACATGATCGTCTTTTTCTTGCGAGTACTAACTTCCGATACAGCACCCGCAAAAATGTGACATGGCGTCCATCAGCCTCGGACTAGCCATGAGCGCAAATCGATCACATCGCGATCAGTTACCGCTGCAGAGACTTTAAAACCGCCGCTCGATCTAGAGCTAGAGCGTTGGACTCCGACCACACACCTGTGTGCACTGATCTCTGATTTCAATTCGGCGGATGCGTCGTGCATTTGGCTGAACACTTTGAAGAGCAGTTTAATCATCCAATTACCAGCATTTTATAGGCCAATATTCGCGCTTCTTATTGGACGGTCCACTTTAATCCTCCCCCACATACAGAATTCCTGTGTGATATCAGAATGTTGAAATTGAAGAACGCTGCAGAAGCAGGTATACTTCTTTCAACACTGTTTAGATTCAAAGGACCGGATGTTGTGGGTGGTTTGCTCAAATTAAGAGTGAAACTGTAGAAACAGGAAACTGTCCCAAAAGCCTGGATCCGCTCCGTCATTGTCCCGATCTTCAATAGGGATTCACGTTCGGAGTGCGGCAATCACATAGTTATCACTCTGGTTTTCCTCGTTACTAACTTATTCGCCTTAACCTTTCTGCATAGACTGACTGCCACTTGTGGAACTCAGATTTGCGAGGAGCAATCCGGGTTTCGTCGAAGTCGCGGCTGTATTGACCACATTTTTACATTACGTCAATTGTTGGAGTGTTGCCAAATTTACTGGCGACCTTCAACATTCGTGTTCACCAACATCACTTTGGAACCGTTTGATTAGAAGTGTGTCCGAGAAATGTGTAAACATTATTGGAACCATGTACGCGCATAGTACGGGCAGTTAGGGCGTATTGCAGGCTGTCACCGCCCTTCAATATCTCCAGCAGTTGGAGATAAGGTTGTGCGCTGCCGCCTCTTCTTTTTAGCTATCGACCAATTCGTGGAAACTTGCTTTCTCTAGGAACGAGTTACAAGGTGTCAAACTGTTCCCTGAAATTGCAGTGTATTTTCTATGGGTAATAAAGCTTCTGTGGTATGCGATTCATTGACATGCACCTTGGTAACATCACCACAACTCCTTGTCAACAACGCCATCATGAACAGCTGTGCTCACATTTCCGATCAAGCCAGCCTATTTTGTTGCAACATCCAACTCCATGTGAATTTTGTTAGTTGTGGACTGGTGGTCATTCTCCACTCCTTCTGCCCGCGGCACCAACTTTATTATTCAATATACTACACAATCGTGTTCAATCCCCACTCCTAATGTCGTACATCTGAAATGGCTCATTCTTTTATACCTCAATGTTTCCACGTGTCTCAATAGATCACTGTATGCCGAAGCCATTCTCTTTTCGTAGGGTTCATGAAGCTCGACTAGTGTGACGCATGCCCATGGCCTACTGTGCCCGTGTTCTATACCTCCGCGATGTGCTTTTGCTCCGCATTGCCGGTGAATTCAATAAGACTACTGTTTTTATTTTTTTTTCGTTTATTTTCGTGGCTTCATGTGCGAGTTTGCAATAATGACAATGAGAAGTATCATGACCACTTTCTCTCTCTCTCTCTCTCTCTCTCTCTCTCTCTCTCTCTCTCTATATATATATATATATATATATATATATATATATATATATCATTGAGCTAGTCATATTTATGTTTTTTTCTGCCTACCTGAATAATCTTCTATTAACTGGCCACGTTGCTTACGCTAAGTGCGCTTATCTTCGGTAACTTTGTTGCGTTTGTAGCATTTTTAAGTAACTTGTGTACATTTCTTACTTATCGCGAATTCGTTGCTAACCAACTTACTTCATATGGTAATTTAGCGAAGAGCTATGCCACCGTATCTGTATGCATTATTGGATTTATTTTATTTCATCTTGTCGTCTCAAGTGAATGGCTGTTGCTTGATATCCCCGGTGTGGCTGCGCTTGATGTGCATGTTGACAAGGTGCGTACCTGTCCATGACCCACTACCTCGTCCATACTGGCTCCAGGAGACAGTTGGTCGTTGCTAAAAGGGGACGGGATGCACGGTCCTTGTGGCCGTACTAGGCTCGAAGAGTGGTTCCATGCACTCAGTGTGGAGCGGACTACGGTCCAACCACCGCCTTGTGTGCGCTTGCTTCCAAAATACAGCGTGCTTGTGTTTGCCTGTGAAGGAGTGTGGGCCGGCTCCGTTGATGAAACGTGGCTCCCATCCACATGCCTCCCGGTCTTATTACTTCGGGTTTACACTGGATATATAGTGTAAGGTTGGAGCCGTGAGTGGTGCAGCGCAAGCCATCCATAGTCCCTCTGTAGGCGCAGGCGTCCTGTGACAGGCAAATCCGAAACTGGATGCCGCTAACCATATATACCACCGAGCTAGTCATAAATTGCTGTAATGACTTCCGGGTGATCACATGATGTGTTCATTATTCGTTATACATGCTGGCTATTGTGCCGCCATACATGAGAAAGGAACAAAAGTTGCAACAGCTGAGCCACCAATAACAGATGGGCATCCTTCCGCGGAGTCAGCAGCTGGCTAATATTCCCCCAAAAAGTTATATTCTATGTCCGAAATGTGATTGTAGCTGGATCGGAAGGCTAAGCGGGATGGGAGGGACAAAAATACGCGCAAACGCCACTGAGGTCGGCTCCTAGCCATATCAGCAAGTGTATCCTTCTAAATATGTTCATCGACTCTTGGACTCCAACTAGGGAGCCGAGAGTCTCAAACCCAGACCAACCTACAACTACGGGCCTTTATTCCTCACATGATACATTTTAGATGTCGCTGTCGTGTTTTTCGTATATCAGCGGACTAGTTTTGCACCCACATCTGTTGTTGGCGATCACTGCACCTGGTCTGACTTGAGTCCGATGACTCGACTTGGCGACGTACTGAAAGTCTCACTACATGGGAATTTACCGCATATTGCCAAATATAAGCCCATAATTTTTAGACAATTTCTTATTTCTGTGGAGACGCATCAGCTTTTAGAAAGTTTATATGCAAATTGGAAATAAGTCACATGCAAACTGCACCCAGGAATTCACTACAGATCTCTGCCGTTATCTCCCTCTAGCACCATACGCTAGTGATGGACAGTATTCCAGACGGGGATTTGAAATGCCTCATATTTTTGTACACAGCACTGGGTGAAGCGTGCCTATAACTAGGCACGTTATTTTTGTGGCGAAATTTCTCGATAAATTGCATCTTTGACCTTCACGACGGATGATAGTAACAGAAACATACGGGAATATACATGATCAAACATCATCATACACAATAACGTGGAATAATACACTGCACAATGGTAAAACGAATTACTCGAATCGTTCGAAACCAGCATCCGAGTCATAATCTCTAAACAATTTCTGCAACTGGTCATCTGTAATTAGGGTCCCAGCGTGAATATCGTCATCTTCAACTTTACTGCTCTCGCCATTGTCATTTCCATCCATCTCATTACTGATGCCGGTTTCCCTTGAACGCACTCAAGTGAATGTAGCTAGTGATTACGTCAAATTCGTAGAGAAATGATTTTGTTTCTTTTCTTACGGTTTTTTTTGGTCGGCTAATATAGGGATTTATGACTTTGGACACCTTTAATCTTGCAAAGTCATACTGTCGGCCTGTCCATGGACGGGCTTATATTCGGTAATATACAGTATGTATGAAGCACAGATACAATTAGTGGTGCTATCTGAGATGGCACCGATAAGCGATCGATGGCGCTTTTTTCCTCTTCTTCCTATTCGGCCATTTCTCTAGTTTCATCTTTGTCAATTTTTATTGACATAACGAGGCGATTCTACGCAATTTCATTCAACACACTTCGATACTTTATACTTTATTTGGTTAATTGACTTAGGGCGAAGTGCCTGTCTTCACCTGATATTCTGCGTATTGCAGATTTCATCGGCATATTCGTGTTGCTTTCGGTGTTTTTGGTTTGGTCACTTGTAACAATTGGAACATCCCTCTTCAGTGACATTTTTCAACTTGTGATAAGCTTTACAATTTCACACTGGCATCATTGAATCAGGTAAAGTGATATACACGAGTCTATCTCTTTTCTTGTAAAATGGCAAAAAAGCCATCAGCAGTACATCGGCACGCAGTACCGGCACTTCGCTGCCTCGCAACCACCATCGGTTCCAAGTGTGTTAAGGATACTGCAAGGGTCGCCCTGCCCCTACACAAGCTCGAACCCGCGCCACCAGATTAAAAGACGAACTCATTACCTTTTGGTTACGGGCATGTAATATGACGGGACCATAAGTAGGTTCACTTCCTTTTTCGTTCGTTACCTGTTCTAGTTGCTACTTATTATCATAGACTATCTTGGGTGTAACCGCATTCGACTCACACACATTGCATGTTCCTGAATCCATAGACCTTCACTGCATTCACACCCGCATGATGAATCTCCACACGGTTACTCCCTTCCATAGTCGCTAGCACATTTCCATTATTTCATCAAACTTCACGTTCCCTCAAGAGGAACGATCATGTTCACCAGATCCATACTAGTATCCTAGTTCTGTTGGAGAAACAACACACCCATCTAATGACTGTTAATGCTTGTATGGGTGAGAAAATCAACTCGCGCATTTTGTTTTCTTCTCTATCACCAAAATAGTTTTTTCTCAGAACCGAAGATTGGGACTCGTTGCGTGGTGTTATTGGCACTGATGTGGATAAAAAGGCCTTTTTGGAAAATGTGATTGAAACGCGCAATTTACCAGTTCGGATGGTTGGACGAGATGGCTCCATCAATTTGTGCCTCAAGTGCGGTCTGATCAAGCCAGACAGAGCCCATCACTGTTCAACTTGTGGAAAGTACGCTGAAGTTATATTCCGTGCTCGAATGGCTCTATTTCCATCTACTCTATTGCCCATCGCACATCTCGCGTTTTGTTGCTCTACTTCTTTCCGAACTACCGTCGGATACGACTTGTTACTGAGATCCTATTTGTTTTGTATAGGAATATCAATAGTAGATATACTAATAGCAGTAATATTTCAGGGTTAAGATATCTTTTCGGTAAAATCTCGTCAGACCCAAACTTTTACATGACACGGATTATGTGGGGTAAGCAGTAATATTACTAGTGGCAGTTAGCAACCTTCGCTTCCACAGTTGAGGTTTACTTTAACCGTGAGCATCCACAGGACGGATGTTTCAAACCAGATCCTTGCACGCTGGGTTCGAATTCCCACTCCTGTCTGGCCTTAGATCCCTCGGTAACATTTCAACTCACGCACAATCTCATGTGATTGCATGACACCGCAATACACGTACGATGTACTGTTATACTGCTGATGTCTACCAGTGATAACTCGTATTCCACCTATTACCTGTAATTCATACCAATCATGCCGGGAACCATGCAGTTGGAAACAAACCCGCAATCCGCCAACGTACGTCTCCCAAATCTGGGTAGACCCGCACACCGGCATCATGGTAACGCCGAAACCAACAATGGGACTTGCACCCCCGTAGGACATGCGCATTTTGCGAGCCGAATCAATGCGTTATGGTCATACTACGGTTTGAAATCCGGACAAAGACGCTGTCAGACATCCACAATGCACAGGATGTAATTTTTATTCGATTGGTTTACTTGTGTTACACGATGCGTTTAGCCTAGTTATACTCGACGTAGATTTTAAATATGCCTTTTGCACTTACAACAGTTCTCAAACTCAGGTGTTCATCGCGGTTATGAAGCAGTTTTTAACTAAATCCGCTCATATTTTACTTTCTCAGATGCGTGCTGCAGTTGGATCATCATTGTCCGTGGTAAGTGAATAGCCGCGTTTCCACATGCATCTCCCATCTTCCATCCATCAGTCTTTTTGACTGTATTATTGTCACTTGGCGGCAGCACATGAAATCGCTGACGTCGTGTCTAGCCGCTTTTGGATCCGTACGTCTTCCAGGATGGGGACCCAAAGATGAGGAGTGCCAATAGCTTAGGACTCTTGAAAACATGGCCCGCAACCGAAATCAATGGAAGAATTGTGTACAGTGTTGTATCGATTCACATGTTTAATACTACCAACATTGAAAATGACAAAAAAGAGAAAAATGGGCGTGTGAAAAACAAACTAAAAATATTTTGTTCTATTTTTTGTCAAAATGTTCCATTCTTCTTGCGGCATATTAGTTGAAGTGTGTTGCCCACCTTCAACTAGCATGCCACGACGATTATAACGCAATGACTCTCCTATCGACTGATTTCCATGGTTTTTATTGGCTCTATGTCTAGTTACTAGTTACTTGCTCCGCTTCTTAACTAATGAGTATTTTACATTAATCAGTCTAATTCAAAGGATTTGGTGTCCTCTATGACATCTTTCACATTGGAGAACCAAATAAGCATTCTGCACAAAATCACACGCACATACTACATGTTTTAAGTTTCCACCCTGCCTTTACTTAGCAGCTTTAATCCAGAGTTTTTTTTGTAGCGGTAGGATTTTGCCTGAACTATTTTTTTGTGGTTTATCACAACTAGACTCAATAAGCTAGTCACCGAACAATCCCAATCACATGGGAAGCTGATTCATTGTTTTATGAATTACTAACTGACACCCATTTCTCTGACCTCATGCCTAGAACAGAGCCACTACACCGCAGTGTATGCGGTCAATTCATCTCATTTGGCGTCTGAATCTGGTTGGTATCCGTTGTAGCTCACTTCATCCGATGCAGTTACCTTAAGTAATATGCAGCTGGCGAACCAAAATGGTCCAACGCGATTATCACATACGAGACCCAATAGTTTTCCGACAACTGAGTTCTTTTTTCCGTCTCAGATTTACAAACCAAGTCAGACAGTCCAGCTTGTACTTTTATGCACCCATGAAGAACAAGTACTCAGCAGTAACACGCACACCTCACTGACGGAGATAGCTAAAAATATTACTGCGAATGAATAGTTGCAAAACAGCAGTTCTTTAGAAATTGATAAAGGTAATACCGCTTAGGGAACTTGCCAACGGGTTCATTACTAACTTGACCTGTCATAAAGCGTGACAGACACGGAACAACTAATGTTCCGTAGACCCATGTGCTAGCATATATCGTTGTGTGGGTTTATCTAGCCTAGGAGGTTGACGTATGCTAGACAATCTGCTGTGGGGAGAGTAACTAGCATTCTTGAGTATTTTGGGCTCCAACTTTTTGAAGCAATAAGCATGATTGAGCATAATATATCAAAAAGACCCTGCCTCGGAATTCTGTTGCATCGAGCTAGATTTTTCACTGATTTGATCATCACTTTGAGATATTTACTCAAGAGACCAGATCACAAGACAGAAGAATTTTTGACGGAGTAACGCACTCAGCGATGAACCGTTGAAACAAAGAATGGGGTGTAGTGGAATACCTGAGATGTGAGACATAATATGGTAGTTATCCGGGAATCAGATAAAAACATAAAAGAAAAAAGGAAAGTATATAATGGTGTTTGAAAGCTGGGTTGAAGGGAATCGCCTACCCCGTGCGGTCGATCAGGCAATCGATCGAGCGGACGAATGCGTTTTCAAACACCCAGCTAATTGTACTTTTGCCTCAGAGTTGAGAGGGCAGTGTTTTCGGCGGCATTATCTGGCTACGTTGGCAGCGTTTTTTGTTAACACGTTTTTCGTGGTCAAGACTGTTGAAATTTTGATTTTTCTTCGGCTGGGTTAGAATTTTTGCGGAGAAATTTTTGGGTGGTTAATTCGGAATAGCGAAAAAAGTGAAGATCTAACAGTAGTCTACTGACCTTAGTGAATTTTTCGCTCACGTGAAGAGACTACATCAGATCACGGCGCATTGTTGTCAGTCCTAGTTATTTCACCAACGTGTATAACTTCGGCCTTTCACCATGGATGCTGGTAACAACACTCTAAACAGTGTGTAAACTTCAGTTTTGGGACGTTCAATGATAGGGTACGTGATTTGGACCAAGTGTTAAGGCCATCCGAGTAAGTTGTAGTTTGACCGAAGTTTCTTTAGTCGGATATTGGAGACCCGGGATGACGTCATCCACACACTGCATCTTCATCATCCTCATTACACTTCAGGTAATGTGCCACACACTACAGCAAGGTTGGCTATTATTACGGCGTTTGAACCAAGGTAATCCCGGTCACTCCTGGTCCGATTTTGACAAGTTATGAATATCATACTTCGTAGCAAGTTGCCTTCATTCTACTTTCTAATATGGTCCCCGTAACAACTGCACGTCTTGCGTTACTAATAGACGTCTATAAATGTCCATAAATGGGAACCAAGGTGCTAAGGCATAATGACCGACTTTTTTATTATCGAAGACGGGGTTGTTATAATATTAATAATAAAGATCTATTCTTGGGTTTACGAGACGCCCTTTTCCGCATGAGCAAACTTTTACTATTGTTTTGTATAATATTTACCGCATATTCCAATTGTCAGAAAAAATCGTGTTTTTAACCTCCATGGTTGTCCAGTTCAACGTCTTGGATGGGAACAGGATAATTCATGGCGTCTTGTTGGATAGCTCTGTGTACGGACAGAACCACCGATCGCGCGTTAGCCGTGTATACGGCGGGAACGCCCGCCCCTACGCAGATTCGAACCTCAGGCAAGCGTGCAATCCTCTCAGGCACCGGCCTACAAAAAAGGAGCAAAGACCTAATCATTTATTCATTTTCAGTTAAGCAGCCATACCCATGGGCCGGGACAAATAAAGTTGTAGATTTGTTTGTTATGTGTTAGGCGAATGTGCTTGGCACTTGTCAACTGGATCAAGCGTTTTGGTTTAACTGTACGCTAGGCTTAAGCAAGTAAGAAAACAAATGAATAAGAGATATTGAAAATGAGACGAAGTTGTTAGAAGTAGAATCGGTCAGCTTCACCTTACTGCCTGACATGTTTACATAAGGGCAACAAGGGAAGCATAGACGAATGGGAGAAGAGCGAATGGCAAAAGTGAATGAAGATGGATGTATTCAGTAGGTGCTTCTTTCTCAGTTCACACTTTGGTATGGCTGCAAGGTAGGCGTGTCTGAGCAAACAGCATATGAAGAGTGGAGACAGAAATGATAATCTCAATCACAATTTGCCGTTCCTCTTCAATTTACACTTTTTGATGTGTCTTGTGGTATGCTTTCCCGTAATGCCAGAAAGTGGGTCCGGTAAAAAAGAGTGAAGGGTGTTCTGTCAACCTTTTTATCATTTTTTCAACTCACTTCTTCAGGAGGCTGTTTAACTAAATACACTATACGTAGCACATTTATAATCACTACACATATGTCTCAGCCCTCTCAAATAGCTCTTTTCATTGCAATTTAATTGCAATATTCTTTTCACGTATTGCACTGTCAGGCAGTTGGAAGTTGTCCTTTTAAACACTGGTTGCAATTCGCATGCTCTCATTTCAATAGCGAGGCTGTTCCAGATCTCAGGTAGCATTTTCATCAAACATTGGTTTTCGTTTTGAACACGGATTTGGTTTCGGTATTTCTGGTTGCCTATCTGCCTTTTTGTTTGAGCTGAATAGTGATATTTGTTGCAAATACACGCTTATGAACCAACGCAAATAGGAATGTTAACTCTAGCTTCCTACGTCTTAGCCACAGTGGTTGCGGTCGTAGCGCTCAGATTGGTGAAGTTTGGACGATAAGTTGAAGAGGGCCTTTGTGGATAATCACTGCACGTTTGCTAGTCACATGCGGTCGCGTTTCCTGCCGACTATAAAAATAATCGAACGGTACTCTAGCACATGACGAATGTAGGCCTTAAGCGCAGTTTAGGTTCACGTACCGAAATGCTTTTTAGACGAGTCTTGCACTTTTTCGTGATCTGGCCGTTATGTATGCTACTTGTTCAAAATTCAATTTTCGATCACGTGTAGTCTTACCACAGTGATTGGGTTTATCACCAAGGTAAAGTACATTCGCACTTGGCTGTTAACCCATTACACTTGTCCGCTGAGCATGACATTTGTCAGTCAGTGCACCACGATTCCAAGGTCAGCAAGTCTGTGCGAACGTTCACTAGGGTATTGCTCAAACACCGGATATCGTAGTTGTATAGTATTTTTATCTCATCCACAAAGATATACGGTGTCCCAAGTTTTACTTCTTTCAGTTAAATCATTGATACACATTCGGAAGAGCAAGGGGCCTAATACACTGCCTTGAACCATACCACTGTTAATCATCAATGGTGAAGACTTAGTATGCCCTATTTGTACTTGTTATGTGTGATCAGAAAGGTAAGCTTTGAACTACGCGTGCAAGCGATCAGTGATCCCGAAATTTGTTAACATTTTCAGCAGGCTGTTGTGCTGCAGTCTGTCGAAAGCCATAGAATGGCTAGCTGACAAGTCTGGCACGAACCTCCTTACAAGAACCCGTGTTGAGCTAACTGATCACGCTGTCAGTTGATTACAACGGACCTGAGCATCGCTTTGCTTTAGGCTATTGGTACAGAGGTTGCAAATAAATGTGTGACGCCGGATCCGGTTGAGTGCTGTCGTTAATCTAGTCAGATTTTCCTCCCAGAGAGGCTCTTAACTGCGTCGTCAATCACTTCATCACAGCTCACTAACTGATTCTTTATCCGATACTCTTTGTCTGCACCATTCCAGTGGAGCCACGCTAGGTCGCAGAACATCTCTATAGGTTTGAATTCCCAGGGCTCTTTTGGCTATATTATAGTTAAGTCCGCCTTATCGTTTTGCGCCAACAACTCTTACCGCTTATACGAGTTGTTAATCGCGGGATTTTTTTCTTATTGCTTCAACCTAATATGATCCATGACTGTGTTATTCCGCTTCGGGAGCTATTTTCCATCTTTATACGTATTCCATTCAAAAATTTATCGAATGCGACTGAAATGCACATTTTTAATAGGTCCATCATCTGTACGGCTCATCTGTCTTTACTCGATGCCTGCTTAAAATATCTGATGAAATACCGGCGATTTCTAACAAGCATTTCACATGGCTTAAAGTGTCTAGTGTCCTGACAAGGTGTCGTGAGCTTAGAAGGCGTCTTACTTGCCTGTTTACGAATCGGAACTGTTCATCTGGTGGCTGCTTACATCCCAACAATTAATGAACTCCTTTAGACAACCATACATAAGATCAACTTGTTTAGGGAATTATATGCATGTATTCAAAAGCGAGATCCTTCGCGAATTTCTTATATCTTGGGTTCGTCGGCACTTTAATTCTCAACTGCCATTTTTAGTATACAAAGACTCAGTCTTCTGCGAAGTGATGTTCTCTGAATGGATTCATAAAGACCAGTAAACCGCCTCACTCAAGCCGGTCATTGACGACGATTTTCGATCAGGTGTCCTCCTGGTGGTCTCATCGTGTGTCAGAGGTGGAAGTGACAGCTGCCCTTGGTGACCATCGTAATTTATTCCGTCAGCAGTAGCAGTATACCTGGTATTAATGTAACTATTTGGGCCGAGAGTGTACAGCCTATCCATAACTTGTCAAAACGCTCGTGGCGTTGGGCTGAGCACTTTGAAAGTCAATTCAATCGGTCGGAATTAGATTCCTCACCTGCCAATGATCCTCTTGCTCCTTGGGCTGTCCTATGGAATGCGCACTCGCGCTCAGAAGTCGAACGCGAGATCGAACTGTTGAAGTCGAATAAAGTCTTGGGACCAGATAATTTTATCCACTCCTATTCAAATTCGCAGGCCATGCCCTTGTTGCTGATTTACCCTAGTGAGAGCAGCAAACTGTTCCAACAGACTGGAACCGCTCCGTTATTGTCCTGATTTTCAACGGTGCATCGCGTTCGGAATGCAGCAACCATAGAGAAATCAGTCTGCTCCCTGTCGCCTCCAAATTATTTGCCTCCGTAATCCTTCACAGACTGACTGGTGATCGTGAAAGCAAGATTCGTGAGGCGCAGGCCGGGTTTCGTCGTGGTCGGGTCTGCTTCGATCAGATCTTCACTTTGTGTCAGTTGATGAAGCACCGTCACATATAATGACGACCCACAGTTGTCGACATCAAATATGCCTTCGACTCGGTGGATCGATGTGCCTTTTGGGACTGCTTGTTAAGAGAAATTTTGCCCGAAAAATATGTAATTATTATCCGAGCGTTTTATGCGTGTAGCTCGGCAGGCTGTCGCCACTCTTCAATATCTCCAGTGGTGTAAAAAGGATGTCCGCCGTCGCCTTTCCTTTTTAACTTCGCGTTCACAGGACACGACTTAGGAAGTGTGGAGCTGCTCCCAGGTGAACGACTTCTTGGCTTAAAGTATGTTGACTACATTGTCCTCATGTGTGACAGCTCACAAACGTGCCAAACAGCACTGGGCAGATTAACACCGGCTGTCAGCCGTTTCGGGATATGCTTTGCACTCTCGAAGTTCAAAGCTTCCCTCCAATGTTGACATGGACCGCCTCCTGCGCTGACCTTTGGTGGAGATCAGCTAGAAGTCCTTCAAATCTTTAACTACCTGGCCAATTGTATCAGCGCCGTTGGAACTGAAGAGGAGGTCACAAACCGTATAGAAAAAACGCGAGGCGCTTTTGTTGATCTTCGCCTCCGATGGTGTTTGTGCGACAGTAGTCTTTCCCTGAATGGTTGAGTGTAAAAAGACAGCCGTACGTTCTACCCTCCTGTACGGTTGTGAAGCCCTGCCCGTTAGATCCGCAAACATAAAGAGGTTAGTTACGTTTGACCACCGGTGCCTTCGCTGTTTGGCTCATATCTGGTAGGAACACCGTGTGAGCAATGAGCGTGTTCGACGCCTCACTTATAGCACAGTAAGACGAAGTGAACCGTTCATGCACTAGATTCAGATGGCTAGGCTACATGTTACGCATGCCAGCCTATCGACTCCCGCGTCGTACGTTGTTTGCTCACCGGGTGTATGGATGGAAGAAAAGGAGAAGTGGCAAAGCGATGACTTGGTCAAAACGAATGAAGGCCTTTATTTTGAAGTTGGCCTCCTTTGGAGCCTCTAGGCTCCTTAGTTGTGGTCCGAAAGAGTAAGGACACCTTTGACTGGATACCCTTGTTGATATGTCTAGGAGCCAACCTCAGTAGTGTTTGTGTTGTGAATTTCTTTATCCCTCCCGCTTAGCCTCGCCTTTCAACCACGATCTCATTTCCTATGCATATTAGCCAGCTATTAGCTCACCGGAACAATGTCTATCCGTTATTGGTGACCCAGCCGTCGTGCCTCTGTTGCATGTCTTTTCTTTTATGCCTTGTGGCGTAGTAGCTGACGTGTTTTCCACCTCTAGCTTACGTATCTAATAATGATTATGATAGTTGAAATCGAAATTGATATATTCTCAACTACGTAAGACACGGCCCAGCTAAGCTGGTCCGATCGTGCAAAGGAAATGTAAAGGGATTTTAAAAATTGCCGTATACAAGCACTTGTGGATGCGATTCCATTGACTCTTGAGCCATTGATTTCGTTTCAAAGTTTGTCGGCATCCACGACGATTGAAAGACGTTCGGATACTTTTAGACGGATGTTTGGGAAAAGAAAGCAAAACAACGACGTTTTAAAAGGTGATTAACAATGTGCACATGGGAAATGCAATTAAAAGTTTCATAACTGATATGTAACAATTTAATTAGGGGTGATGTATCAGCGGACATGGTAACACGTCAACGGTTAAACTGAGAACTGCATCCATCATGAAACTAATCAATTGGAACTAACGACTTACACAAGAGGTAAGATGTGGTAACACAGGGCAAGTGGAATTGCGTACATAAATTTGGTGAGTTAGTCTTGCAGGCATCAACAATTCATCCTTTCATTGGGTCCATGTCTTGCAGGCACTCATGCCTTTCACTTAGCTGTGTAGTGGAAAGGAAGCACTGTATGATGGCTAAGGAAAAAGCTTGCTTATCCAACGCACCAATGTACGCAAATTTTTCAAATGCCATCGTTGGGTCTTCAAGCTAAGTCAGAGCAGAGTGCGAAGCAGTGTAGATGGAGAAAAAATCGAAGATATATGCCGTATATCTAACTCATCAATGGGCCCATGTTTTCATAGGTCACTGGTGGGTCATCATTTTGAGTAATACCGAAGGATGTGACAAAGTAGGAGGAAGGGATGAGAGACAAAGCTAAGTTATCTAGCCAAAAGTTCATGATGACAGAACACTGTGTTTCACGTTATGTCGCCAAGCTCTTATACCCATCTTTGTCTGTACTTTTGTTCTGCGTTTTCCGCAAGTACTTAGCTATTATCAGACTCGTTCTCCTACACCCGCTCATCTGTGCAACTAACGTGGAACAGTTCTTTCACTTTATTAACACTTGGTTGCATGTTAAATGTTGACACGGATGAGGAACTCCTGATGGCAATCTGTTCCATAGCGTGGGATATTTGTGTGTAGAGATGTTGTACCGTAGGCGTGTACAGCAACCAAGTACCTTTATCACATAGCCTTTGTTTCTTAGGTCATACGGTGAAGATTCTTGGAATAACGGCTGACAGTAACTAGTATGTGTCAGTCAATGAACCATTTCGAATAATAAACAAATTCGGCCTTAATTTTCGAGGCCTCAGCGGTTCGGTTTTTAACAAACGGCGTCTATCTTTATAAGTAAGCTTAAAGATGCAGCTCACGATTCTTTTCCTAATCGACATCTGTGTACCTACGGTTACACTTGTGTCGCATTTTAAAACGCTATTAAAACTGGTGGCACAGTATTCTAATAATGGTCTGGCTTACAGTTTGAATGACAGGAACTTGACATTGCTTGTCATAACCATCACGCAAAACCTTTGAGCCACGGTGTTCGCCAACTCGCTTCTCCGTGGTCTATGTTGTTACTCTGTTGCAGTTTCTATGTGCACCTTGTCACCAGTAACTGAGCGAGTTGCCAGTTTCAGGGTGATTTTACTAAACCCTCCAGACCTTCAATCTCCTTAACTGATTTTCGACTGTCCTGCAACCGCGAAGTATATTTGTTTTGTCGATGTGTTCCGATTCAGTGCCACTATTAGCTGTTAACCTAGACATGGTTGTCTCCGGTTCTCTTCCCGCTATTTAAACAAGCAAATAAGGCCTCTTCACACACCGATAAGAGCTGGCATACATTTGGCGTTTATCCTTTATTTGAATCGAACTGTCATCTCCCTAGTGCTCGTTCAGTTCTGGTCCACCTGAGAAGTAGAACTTCTCTTTTAACTATTTAATCAATGTGTATTGAAACTTTTTGTTGTCGAATCGATAGCGTAGGCCATTTTGCACCGCGTTAGCCGCATTTAGCCTTGTAGTTAGTCAGGCTGAGATGGAAGCGTTCATTTCTCCTTTTATATATTTTCTGCATTTATTTTGCAGAACATTGTATGTGCTTCGTGTAATGCGTGTTTGTTACAGTTTAACGTTTCGCTCATTACTGTTCACGTTCCTATGGATTGATGCATGGCTTCTGTTCCCACCATTTGGTCCCCACCAGTCTACTCAGTTCCCGATGCCAATGCTACTCTAGTGTCTACATGCGAGCCATGTCTTTCTACCAATGTTCTTCCTCATTTCCGATCAGTCTGCTTGTAAATCTTCTTTGAGCCTTTAACTCCCGCTTCTCTTACCGTTTTGGTGGACTTATAAACCTATTTGGCATCCTGGTTTCACTTCTCTTTTCCGCTCAGGACGAACAACTGTGTTGGCTTCCACAACCACAAATATTTCATCATCTTTCTCGGTTGGGGCAGTATCTATTGTATCTACATTGCTGTTACTTCGGCACCATACTTCGCTGAATTTTGGACTGTAAGTCTTTCGACAACTTCCCCGCGTTCTTCATTGTGACCATTTCACCCAATCCCTAGTCACATTTTGCACTCCACCCTCCGTTGCTTTCTTCCAACACCAGAGCACGTTCGGTTTGCCAAATTCCAAGGTACTGGTTTCGCGGCGCTTCATTCACTCAGCTGTTTTGCTTCTGTGTCCGGTTGTGTGTCCGCATAGTTTCATCCCACGTTACCCGTTTTCGGTTGCGTACTTTTCCCTGACCACCTCGTGCACACTTGTTCCGCGTTCCCTGTGGGTCTTGTTTACCGTTGTGGCTTGAACTACGGGTTTCTGTTAAAACCGCCTGCATGACTTTCGGTGTGACGATTTGCGTGTCACTGTCGACTACCACACGGAATGATGCCGATTGCTAATCCACCCCAGTCAATTTCATACACACTTGTGATATATCGTGTGGCAATCATCACGCTTTCTCCATACGAGTAACACTTTTATTCCGCCAGTGAGGCAACGATTTCATGTTGGACGACCGGTTGCCCTCTGTTCATTACCTGTGAGTAAACTTAGTACACGGCGCTAAGTGTACTTGGTTTCGAGGCTGGCCACAAGCGCTGTCTCCCTCAGATGCAACAGTCATTCTGCTTCTAACAAAGACTGTGTTTTGCCATTTTTTGGACCAGCAGACCTCACGTAATAATATTGTTAAAGCAAATCTCAGATATGCATACTCTACCCGCATGATGGGACTTTTCTTTGGTGTTTAAAATCGCCACAATGAACTCGGATTACAGAGATACGCTGAGAGGACTTGGAGCTTTTCAGAACCCTCTGATGCGCTTCACTTTTGCAGAAGATGTCATGATAATCGTCTAGGTTTCTTGCGCTATTGCTCCTTCGTAAGCAGCACGCGGTTCTGTTAGGTCTAATCCATTCACTATGATTCTGACATCAGTCAGTCATAAATGCAGTTACACTAGCTTTTCAGGGCTATCAGATAAATCAAGACGGATAACACAAGCAGTGATGATTTGTACTTGGAGAAAACTAACGATTTCGGTATGCCCAAGTGAGCAGACGGTTACGGGTGAAATGGATCCATCAAACTTGTGGTGCCGCCATGCCGAGTGAGATAGCCGAGTCCTTAAATCGGCCGTACCCTTTTCGTTAGAACCTCGTCCGGCCGCGGACTCAGCAGTTTTGACCAGCTATTATTGAAATTTTATTCGATTGCACTATTTCATGATCGCTCGCAATGTACTGCCTTTTTCTAACATGAAGCACCATCGTCCCGATTGGTACACTGTGCTCCGACACTGTACCTTCAGCAGAAAACAAATGCTAATTGTTTACTTCGTCAACGGTAATCATTACCTGTATATACACCGGACCGTTTATTCAGGTGACACCTGTGCACCACATGCCATTTTTACACCTATGCCTTTGCATTTTTTACCTTATTTTAATCCATCCGCAATAGTTATTTTAAGATGTCGAAAATCCACTCGGATACATACAGCATGTATTGACTTGACTTGAAGGTTTCCGACCACTAATGTGTCCTATCCGGAGGACTCTATCCATAAATGGCTTTTTATTAGCTGTTTCCTGATCTTTCATCCCATCGTTGACTTATCGGATAGCACAGTTACGGTCAAGAATCCACTGCAAAGAGTGACAGGTGGTTATACCTGGCTTATAGCCGACCGGTTGGTCTGCACGTTTGCTTTGCAACCATAAGGTCACCGGTTCGAATCCGCGTAGGGGTGGGCGTCCTCGCGGTATACTCAGCCCGCGCGCGACTGGTGGTGGTCGCGCGGCAGCGAAGCGCCGTTACGGCGTACAGCTGACACATTATTATTTATTTTTTATGGCCTGATAAACTCAGGTAGTCCGGTGCTTCACTCGTCTTTACAGCTTTCAGGGCTTGTATTTAGGTGGCGTAAACTCCGGTTCATTCAGTAACAGCTGTTTTCTGTATTAATGAATGTGGCTTGTGGGGTGAGAAGGAATCCGTCAGCACATTCCACTTCAGCCCATTAAATTCTGGATAACTTTCACAAGTTGTTACACAGTATGTCTTGCCTGTTCCCACTTCACTGGCACTTGAGAAAACAAATTACTTATTCGGTATAGTTTGTAGTACAGAGTTTTCCGTTTGTTCTATTGACACGCACTTCATACTGACACTGCATCAGGAGCAGTCGCTCATTTCTTCAAAATTGGACGAAGACGATCGTCATAACTTCTCAAAACTGGGTCTTTCATGTTCACTCTCTACTCGTAGCATCCTTACGGAATCAATAACCGAATCGTCTACGCAATTTACCATTGATTTGCTAGTAGTCCACTTCATCGACACAGGCATCTGATGCGTGATGATCCCCTTTTCAACCGTGTGCTGTACTCGTGGTCAGCTCAGGAAACACACCCGTACTTTGCACCTTCCCATGCAAACACGTTTATGCTTCTCAAACAGATTGCTTTCATTGCTGTCCTGCTTGAAGGACAAGATGCTGCTCACTGGGTCTTGGGGGAGGTGTTGTCCTAAACTCCCTGTGAGTAAATGCAACGTGCATCACAAGCTGGGGACGTGCACCGCGGTCACTGATTTATCGATAGCCTTTAATTTATTTATTACCTGACTCAGCAAGTGGCATTGCGATAATCCGTCTAGTTTATTTAACTGTTATATGTGCAGACTGCACGATTTTTTCCAGTCATCAGTTTTATCAGTAACTTAACCTCGAAAATTGCACATGGGGGACTTAGTTTGATACCAGAGACATCAACCCGACATGCTTGCTTTCTCATGTTGTTTACTTTGCTAAACCTGTCCATATAACCGGTGGCATCTTGTCATCAATTCGTTTGGCATCCGCAGCACTGAAACGGAGTCTCATACAGTTTTTCTTTTGTCCCCATGCTCCTCTCTATGCGGTTTGTTGCAGAAGAAGCCAGTGTATTTGATTAACTCATGTTCCACGTATGGTCAAAGTTGCTTCTATCGTAGTGTAAATAAAGTGCTTATGATTGGCCACCGGCTTGCACCAGTTGCTTTTTTTCCCCTTTTTTCTATGTATTGCGGCACAGTGGCTGAGGTGTTCCCCACCTCTAGCTAACGTGTATGATGATGATGCTGATGATGACGGTGGTGGTGGTGATGATGATGATGCTGATTGGCCACCTCAATGCACTAAAGACCAAACTTGGTGCCGTCGGTCTATCTCGCCTTCCAGACTGGAGTCCACATGACTCGCCTTGTGCTTGGCTCGGGACTACTGGAAATGCTTCGCAGTCGGCACCAATGGCGCGTCTGCTGCCATCTCCTAGTCGGACTACCTGTTTAACGTGTGTTTGGCACTTAATTATCTGCGGCGTAATGTCTGCTTATGACGCTGGTCAGTGAAAGCCGCAAGGAAGCTCTCTCTCTGGTGCCGCCTTATCTTTGCGCAACAGCCATATGTTTGTGGCAGTATGTCGTTGATGAGGTGTAGGCACCTTAACCCTGAATGTTTGCTCAGGGCATTAAGGTCTTCCAGTAAGTCCCCTCTCCTTTGTTCCGTAGGTCATCATGGTTGTATGACAGCGAAGCAACCGTTCAAATGACCGATGTACTGCTGTTGATGATTGATCCCCAAAGCAATGTCGTACTGACCCCGTTGGCCCGCCGTGCTTAAATACACTTTCCATACACATTGTTTCATCGCTCACAGTCCGCTAGGATATTCCTTTTCACTCATGAGTTTATCTCCCCGATTTCATGGATTGAGTTTGTGGAGTCCACTCATAGTCTTCCGCCGACCTTCGGTTGCTTCTGCTTCATCCACAGATTCTCGTCACTCTGCTTCTTTTCGTCCGTATGTCATTTATTGTCTCTTGGAGTCAAGTCACGAATGTGATTCATACACCTACACCCAATCCACAGACAAGATTATGAAATAGTACAGTTCATGAAGGTAGATATGAAATCACAATCATTGAACAAGTTGATTGAAGTAATTTACTTACCAGTTGTTGAATGATGGAATTTTCATCGGTCAAAAAACGTGACAACCAAGAAACTACTGATGTACCATAGGCTGTAATTTTGTATCTGTATCTGGTCGAAGAGGTTGCCATGCATTCAGACAACTTCTTATGCAGGAGGTGATTAACATCAGTGAGTATTTTGAATGCAAGCTTGTTACAGAATTTGACGACTTAATGCAATGACGTTAACATGTTCCGGTCTTAAAGTGCCAATACACCGCGGTAGTGTTTTTCATGAAGTGCTAAATCGTTTATGGCTCCATACTTAGACGATGTTGTATTAACTAATCGCCGTCTCGCAAGTTGCTACCCACTAATCACATGTTCCTACTCAAAGTGGGTCCCATACATAAACAGCCCTTGTACACGCAAAGTCTGCGGCTACCAACTGAATGCATTATATTGCTCTCTCACCCGGCTGTACGTTGTACTCTTCCTACAAATATCTCTTCGTTTAAAATGTAATTAATCTCACGGTCACACTGCTCTGAGCTGGCATGTTTCTATATGCATTTCATAAAACTACCTGTTCGCATAGCACACATTGCGCTAGTGTATTGGTCCCACACTTTCCATCGTTTTAACGGTAGACTCTTTCGCTTTACTCTGTCTCTCTCCCATCTACATGCACCACTTGTCCACCATGTCTGGTTTTGGCACCGTCGGCATGTAGTGGTCAGTCTGCGTGTGTTCCATCATCCTAAGCATCGACTGCATGTTTCCTTTCTCTCGTACGATCGCACCATTTGGCTCAGCTTGAATGTCTACCAATACTTGTGTGTGTGTGTGTGTGTGTGTATGCGTGTACACTATCATGGTTCATCTGCTCTATAGTATGTGTTCAATGCTTGTACACTAACACCACTCTGCGGTTAGAGCTCACTGTTTGGAATGCACGGCTTCCAGCGGATGGAATGTGCTGTGCTGATTGCATTGCTCAGTTCATGGAGTGGTTGTTGTGGTGAATTAACACCACTTACCTTTTGATT